TTCATACCAACACAACTCAAAGAAAATTTTGAAAATTCGTTCGCACACCAAGTGTTTGCAAATTGCATTGTTTATTATTTTTGCTAAATTTCATTGGAAATAGATTGCTAGTAATTTGCTATAAACGAATAATATTGTGTTGCTTGTTTCAAGAGTATAAAGTCATCTTATTGTTTCGTTTATTCCATAAGGCTCTTTGCATATCCAGTTCCAATAACTAGGTTCGTATAGACGACTTTTATCGATCTATACACTACTACAAAATGCATAAACAACAACGCCGTGGTCACCACGGTTATTCACTACACATGGATACATATTTAAACTAAGGTGCTCTCATATTATTTTTAATTAAAAATTATTTGTATATAACAACGGTTGCGGAGCCAACTGTGGTGAAACCATCAAGCTTTCATGGGTTTGAACCTCAGTGTCATTATATATATATATATATATATATATATATATATATATATATATATATATATATATATATATATATATATATATATATATATATATATATATATATATATATTATTTTTTTAATGTTAAGGCGCGCCTTTTCTTTTTTATTTATTTTTTAATAAAAAATTTAAAGGGATATGACTCCAGTTGGTACGTTCCACCGTTGTGACATATTTATAATAAATAAATACTTATCAATACAGTTGTAGAATTAACCAATGTGAAGTAGTTTACCCATATATATAAGCGAATTAACTCTCACTTATTGAAAGTAGCGTCGTTTCCTTCACAGCGAAACCCTAGCATCCATTTTTTCTCTTCTTCTTCGCCATTAGCCGTGAATCTTATGCTTCATACGTTAAGGTATCTTTTTTCGTCCATCTTCTTGTTAGATGTTTCCCCATTATCTCGTTTATTGTATGTTGATTTTGTTGATTGTTCTCATTTTTTCAGATTCGTATTCATTACCTTAACAAAAACCATACTCTGGCTTTGGTACATATTGTTTGTGTAGCTATGGAAAAAAGTACTAGAAGCATGAAGCTATGATGAAAACTCCATCCACCTTGTACTTCTTCTTCATAGATTCATAAACAAGATGATTTTCATACCCTATTTACAAATAAGTTTGTGGTTTCACATGTTGATAACTTTCATGGTTATTGTAGGACTCAACAAGAACAAAACATCTTAGTAAATGAAGAAACAACAGTGGCAGCAAACTTCATCTAGTTTGAGATACAATAAAAAGAAATTTAAGTATGAAGATGTTGTGTAAACTACTTCCTCCTTAAATTTATTCCTCATTGCTTCACAAACTATATGAGCTTCATAATTATTCATGTTCCACGATTAGTTTCGATAAAAGGTGCATCCTGAAATTTATAATATATCTTTTTTATTGCTCACAAATTTATAATATATGGTTCTGTTGTATGATATTGTTTGAGTTTATTATATTCTATGTATAATGTTTGTTTCACTAACCCTCACTTAAAATATATTCATTTAAATTGACATAGATACTTATAATCTGCAAATTAAGTTGTATTTGAAAACCAACTTATATTAATCATTGTTTCCGAATTGCATACATCTCATCGTTCATTTCATGTTCTTTTATATAGATTATGGTATAATGACTTGACTCCTTAGATACATCGTTGTCTTCGATTAGAGTTAAATTTTATTAAGTACAATTTATTAGATAATGTGCCTCATCATCAGTACTAATGATCGTAGAAAATTACAATTATAAAAATTACGATTATAAGTGATGATAATGGGGCAGATTATCCAATATTTTATTGTTATGGAAATTTAACTATAATCAAAGATAACGATGTATCAAAGGAGTTAGACCAATAAACCATAATATATATGTAAAAGAGTATGAAATACACGATGAGACGCATGCAATCAGAAAAAACAATGGTTTGTTTAAGTTGGTTTTCAAGAATAGCTTAATTTTTAGATTATAGACTTGTTCATCAATTTGAAAGCTTGTATTTCTTTAGTGAGATGTATAGAAAACAAGCAATCTACATATTATATTATAAACTCAAGGTACTTTTCACAACAGTTATCTATTGTAACAGTGATCAAAGGTTGTTTATGTTTTATATAATTTGCCGTTGATGGGTTTCAAACCCAGTACCTAAGTGTATATATCACAAAGGTTTATAAGTATAACTGTTGGGATAAGTGACGCACGTCCTGCCTTTCAATAACGGTTTTCAGACCGTGGTAGAAATAGAGAACTTACAACCGTACCATACTTAACAACAGTATGACCCACGTGATGGTACCCCTTTTTCAACCGTTGTGAAAGGGGTTTTTCGTAGTAGTGGCGTCAAAACCTTCTGCTTACACTCTTTTCAAATAATTTTTTAAACTCTAATTTTAATTGGTATTTTATCTTGGTGATCTATTCACCCCCTCTAGATAAGTCATTGGCTTCTAACAAAGTACCTCTGATTAGCTGTCCTAGGTGGTCTTTCAGAAGCGTCTAGTATCATGATAAGGTGTGACACCCTATAGAACCATGTCATATAGCCGTGTGCATAAGCCTAGTGTATAAGAGGCACCATGTGATATTCCTCTGGTACCAAATGACTCTTGAAATCCTCAAGTATGACATCAAGATCTCTACGGAGAATGATGGAGGAGTAGACTTTGAGGGGGGTCTCGAAATAATTTGCAAATAAACAAACGGGTGCATCACTCGCACTAGAAGATAAGAATACATAAGTGCTGATCCACATGTCAGCCATCCAGACTATAACCAAATGACGTCCAACTGATGTATCTCAGTGACCCTTGTATGGGCAAAATGAAATGTCATATGCTAGAGTACGGTTAAGCTACACTTGAAATGGCTCGATCGCATTATTCTCTCTGTACAACGCAAAGGCGGTAACACGTGACAAATCCTTAGTGTAGGTAGGTACAATTTTCCACCCGGTGATGTGAGGAATGTGGAGATGACCATCCCTGAAATATGGTTCAGATAAAATATTAATAACAAGTGTAACAAAAATGATTATTAAAATATTAGTAACAATAAATTATTGTAAGTTGCGTGCAACACCCTATCATCTGCTTTGTATTCCAAAGAAAATCCTCGCCTAACTTCGAGTACAGGTAGACCAAACAGGAGGTCCCCCAGTTGTACTCGTGAATCACTGTCAAGTTGATGAATTACTTAATATAGACCACATTGACGTAGATTATAAAGTTGATGGTAGTCAACCTGCACATCATCACCTTCAGCATCCTCAACCCACTACAGGCCGTCTTTATAAAGCTCTTCCAAAAATTTAAATCTAACATGAACACCTCTGGTGTCAGCTACCTCATTTACGGTCTTAATTGGGTCAGCCTCTAAATATGTAATTAGCATCTCACTATCTTCCCCTCGACCGAGCCTTTTGTGGCCCAGTAATTTTCCCTTGTTGGAAATATGCAAGAGGCATGAGACGACATCTAGAGTGATGGTTATATCATCTATAAGAAGGTGGAGCGATGACGTCGATGAATGCCACCACTTTGCAAATGTCGCATGCATGCTATGGTTTATGGTCATATACGCAACACCACATAAATGGACAAGATGGTTGTGAATCTTAACGTTGTAAACCATCAAACGAGTTATCATCGACTCGTGGCCTCGTGGTCCTGACTACGGTCCTCTCACGTCGTACAAATGCGGTTTGGAATACACGACCAAGCCTAGTTTTTCCATGGTTGTTTTCAGCCATTACACATGCGTTAAAACCAGAAAGTCACATCATAAATTCAACCAAAATTCAACCAGACACGAATTCAGAGGTACATCTCTGAAAAATAGCACAGAGAAAATCTGGAGATGCAACTCTGAATAAAGTTGTGATTTTCTCATCCATGACAGAAACGCGGAAACGCCATTGTTGTCATAACCCTCACAACAAAATGTTAATACATGTCCATTTAGAGTACCTATTTCGATTCCACTATCATCTAATGTAGTTTAAGCAACTTATGTAGCTTAAACAAATTTTCATTCAAAACACAAAAAAGGAAGAATTTTGAAAACTTACCAAATCAAATGGATGAGAAAGAGAAGCTTGAATCGATGAAAAACTCGAATGGATGAGAAAGAGCTCCCATAGTAGAATTTTGAATGGATGAGAAACTAGAATGGATGTGAGAGCTCAAATGGTATTTTTGGAGTACCTTTTAGAAAATGAAGGAGAAAGAGAGAAGGGTCTGACGCGGGTATATGAAACAAAAGTGTCTGGAGATGCACCTTTGGACCACACACTGAATTTTGAATTAATGGTGCTTACGGAGATGCGTCTCCAAACTCACCTTTTATGCATACGGAGATGCATCTCCGGATTAAATTTTGGAAAAATAAGATACCTCATGAATTTGCTCTGAGGAATGTCTAAAAAAAATGCGTCTGAAAATGCATATCTAAATGCTAGGGACAGTGTTGACTTTTCACAATGGTGAGGAACACCTCTAAAGGTAATCCCCAATTAATTTTGGTGTGTTTGGTTGTTCTCTAGTAAGATTGATTATACTTTTTAGAATAGATTCTACTTAAACTAAAATTTGTAGCTTTTAAGTTTAAATGTGTTTGGTTGTTCTCTAGTAAGATTAATTATACTTTTTAGAATAGATTCTACTTAAACTAAAATTTATAACTTTTAAGTTTAAATGTAATTTTTAAATTAAAATTTATTATTCAACTCAATCTTAAATCAGATAGGATTGCATCAATATATTCTTCATATTTATATTTTCTAAAATTGTAAATTGTTAATAAGTATGTTGTATGTTCATGTGTTTGTATTTGTTATAGATTACCTACTTTATGTTATTTTATAGCCTTCAAATATGTCTCAGGTAGTAAGTTTATTAGATTTTCCTAAATAGCTAAAATATTGAAATCTCTATTCACAATCACATTTGACAAATTTCAATTTTTTTTTTCATTTGCTTTAAAATATTTTTTTCCTGTCATACATAATACATATATTACTCATTCACACCAATAAAGACTCAGCAAAAGAATCTAATAATTTTTCATGATTTTCTTCATTCTTCAATAGCTGCAAGTACTCTTCATACAACTTCTCAAGAAAACCAGTTTGGCATTCCATGTCATTGTTGTTGACCAAATCTTCATGGCACTGTTCACCAAAGAACAATCCAAACCCATCATTTTCTCCCTCTTTTGTTTCTACTCTCTGCTCTTCTTCCTTTTGGCTTGTTGTTACTGAGTTTGGTTCCATGTTTATGGTATTATCAGTTCTTGGTATTACATATGATAAACTCTTCTTGACCCTCATGGCCTTTGGTAGATAAACTAAGGTCTTCTTCTCTGAATCTTTTGATACTTTCGTTTTGATTTTGTTCTTTTCGTTCTTCTGTTTCTTTTTCTTCTTCTTCTTCTCCTGCTCTGGTTGTTCTTGATTTTTGAGCTTTTTAATGAGATGCGTGTTCCAGTAATTCTTTATCTCATTATCTGTTCTTCCTGGTAATCTTCCGGCAATAAGAGACCATCTATTACCAAGAAGCGAATGCATTCTTATAATAAGATCATCTTCTTCAGGAGTTATGTTTCCTCTCTTTATATCTGGCCTCAGATAGTTCATCCATCGAAGTCTGCAACTTTTTCCGCATCTCAGAAGCCCTACATCAATCACCAAACCATATTTTCGTAACGATAGTTCATCTCATTTGAGTTAAAGGACCAAGGTTCAACCAGTAACTAAAACACTTGGAAGGCAAGGAAGGAAAAAAAAAAACAGATTAAATTACCAGCGCTTTTTGGAAGTGATCGCCATTGGCCTTCTCCATGAGCTTGAATATATTTGGTGAGCAATGCATCTTCCCGAGAAGTCCACGGACCTCGATGCAACCCAACTTTTGAACAACAAGGAGCTCTTCCCATCTTTGTTGAAAGAGAAGAAAGATAGATATTCAAAGCAGGCTTATACCAGTTCAGAACATACTTCCCAAATTCAACTTTGTTCTCTTTTTAAATGTTCAGAAGTAGCTCTAGCAGCTCTTAAAATAATACATTAAACTCATGGATCATGACATTGTGGTGGTTGTTGGATTTTAAATTGATTAAGTGAATTGAAAGCCAGCAGTCGCTATATTCTGTTTGACCTGTTCCAATTTCATAGGTAGATGCTCCAAATACACTTGCTGAGATTGAGCCAGCAGCTTTCTGACGATTCGATGAATGTCAGGCCCAAGCCCATTAGAAAAAGCCCAAATGAATAGCTGTTACTTAATAAATAAACAATGCATTTTCTTTCAGCAAGCAAAAACACAAAATTAACTTGCATTATTAGTAACTCAAAAGTTTACAACTGATCACATTCCAAGTCGTTACAAGTTATAGTATGCTAAAGTGGCATAAAGCATAAACTTAAACTAGGAAGAAAATAAGAGCACCAGCTATTGATTGTTTTATCAACTCAACCTTAATGACAAGTTACAATAAATTTATCATCTCGACGACGACAATAACGCACATTCAACGTTCTCACTATATATTTGGGTCTAATAAAATAATCGGGGGATGAATACAAAATTTATAATCTGACATTGAATGAAGCACGGCTTCCAAAGCCTGAACTGTTGCGATGATTGGCAGAAAGGTTACACGGCTTCAAAATGCTGATCCGCTACCCTTGGACTTTCCAAGCATCATTTCTTTTGCTTCATTGATTTTGGAAGCAAGATAATGGCTTCCACCAGCATCTGGATGGTTTGCAACCATCACTCTTCGATGCGCTTCTTTGATCTTATCTGTTGGAGTGGTCTGTCTGCCACATTGACAATTGAAAATCAGCATGCCAAGGATGAAAAAGTTTATGGTCAATTTTGTCAAAAGTGTGATTACAAACATAATTCAATAATAATAAGTTGCGAATTTCAAGTACACGTGATTTTCCATGAAACCATAATCAGAAATAGAACTTTTCATCATTTTATCATCATTCAGAATATAAAGCATTAAAGCTTAAAATCAGTAGACGGTACAGAGCTACAGTCTACAGATTACAGAAGCTATCTGAATCTCAGAGTAACGAGAGAAAGATGGAAAGCAAAATATGGAAAACCTGCACAAAACTTTAAATTCAATCACATAAATAATTCTGCTCTTCTTTTCAATTGAACAAAGAAGTGAACTTCCCAAGTCACAAGTTGCAACAGGATCAGGGTAATTTCAAAGTACAATCAGATGATTTACAGTGAAAGCAAACTAAAGAGGAAGGAATAGAAACATCAAATGGACAAGAATTAGTTATAGGTTATAAATCATTTTCTTGATTTCTCAGCAATCAGAATCGGTTCGAAGTTACGAATTATGAACAATTACAAAACTAAAGAAATGAACATCATAGTGGTCAATCCTATGTTAAAGTGTGAAGCAGCTGACCCGAAAAATGTTAAAGAACACACAAGATAGACAATTTATACCAATATCATATATATAAAAACTCAAAAATCATATGAAAAAAAAAAAACATAAAATTGAAGACACAATCTAACATTCAAATTTAATAATCAGACGTCAAAATCTAAACTGACAATTTCGATCAACCTCATGCATAATTATTAATAAATCCATAACAAGAAAAGCAATGTGAGTATGGTTTAGTGAATGATGGCATGGCTGTCGAAAAATGAGAATACAGGAACAAAGGCAAGACAAGTTGCTAACTAATAAAAAATGGATCAATTAAAAGAAAAAGAAAAGCAGAAAACATCAGACATGTGACATAAGCAAATTATGAGAATATTGAAATGTAAAGTATGGAGGAAGAACAAAACAAAGTAGCACTGTGTATGCCACATCCGATATAAACTAACCCTAGTTAACAGAATACTGGTATCAGCAGTTAGGAAATGCGAGGAACTCGAAACAAACAAAAAAAGTTGCGAGGAATAAAACTAGAAGAGAGGACATTTGCAAGAACTTGAAACATTTTTAAGTCTTAATTTAATGAATGAATCCATATCCAAAAGAAAATGTGACAAACAATAATGCATTCTTTAATAAAAGAAAACTAATAATATGTTGCTAGTTTTTTCATGAAGTTATTGTTGCAATGACCTTCACACAATCAATACCTTCAAATCATAGAAAACAAAATGACGTTACCTAACACCGAGTATGAGAGCTGCTTCCCTTTTAGTCATAGTAGCCTGAAAACCACCTTCATAAAATTTACGCAATGCAGGTGGTCTAGCTTTGAACGCTTGCCAAGCTTGAATACCAGCTTTACCGGCATATGCTGCAGCAGCCACAGCTATCCCTGCGATTAAAGGTGTAGCCTGTTCCAAATTTCAATTTCAGTTTCACAGAAGAAACACAATTTGAATATCAACCAGTTTTCAAAAGCTCTCCCAATAGGCCACACTAGGTTTTATAAAACGGGTTGAATTGGCTTATTTAAGCTTATCTACTTCCATAAGCAATTGCCCATAAGATGCCTTCAGGTTTCAGCTTATTTTCATAAGTTCTCCTGAATAGCTTATGAAAACAGCTTATATGAAAACAGTTTGATAAGTGTTTATTCTATAATCGCTTAATTAAGTTGTATAACCAAACACAGCCACCCTTGCTCATAAATTGCTTTCAGCTTATTTTCATAAGTTCTTGGTCATAAGTTGCTTTCAGCTTATTTTCATAAGTTGTCCATAATAGCTTATGAAAGCAGCTTTTATGAAAACAGTTTGACAAGTGTTTATTCTAAAAGAACTTAATTAAGCTTTAGCTTATGGTTTCAACATATCAATCCAAAACCTCTACCCTCCTAGAGCCCAACAAAATTGAAAACATCCAATACATTAAACAGCTAATCTAACATTCACAGAGAGATCATGGATAAAAGTATGAGAAGGAAAATAAGAATTTTGGAATCGAAAACTTAAAGGGGAGTGGGGAAAAGCATAGGGTTTTTGTTGTGTATGAGATTAGAGACATAACCAGCAGAAGTAACGTGATTAACGAAGAAAAGCTTACCATAATTTGAAAACCTTGAGAACTGAAAAATGGAGAATTCGAAATAGGGTTGAAGAATGGAATGAAACGAAAGTTGAGTTTTTGTTTTTTGAAATTGTTTTGATTCGCACGTCAATATTGTTTTCTCGAGAGAGACAGGGAAGAGAAGGTAGTTTTTTTTTGGGAAAAAGGGTAGGGTCTATAGGGCAAAGCAGGGGTGCTGGAAGTAGTTACATAGCTTATTTATTGTAAAGCCCTTCATATTATGGGCTATGTAGGCTATGTATGTTTGGGTTTGAAAAGCCCTAATTGTAACTGGGTTGGATAAATGGGATATTTTGTCCTTGCACCCCGAAAGTTTGGCAATTTTTTCCCACCCTGGGTGTGTAAACCGCACCCAATCCCGAAAGTTTGGCAATTTTTTTTCCACCATGGGTGTGTAAACCGCACCCAGGTATCATTCTTTTGTTAAAGTTCACTCATTTCATTCCTCATTGCTTGAATCAATCTTGTTTTTTAGTTGAAAAAATGTACGTTGAGTCCGGAGATGCATCTTCAATTCACTTGCTATCTGTTTTGGAGATGCATCTCTGAATTTGTCTGTTCCTGTAAAATTTTTTTGCACTTTTTCTGTTTTGGTTCAAATTAGGTATGGGGCATCCGAATATGTTTCCTAAAATTTTTGTAAGTATCGATGCAAAACCGGATGAAGTGAAGGAAGATGTTAAACTTGATGAGGTGAAGGACAATGTAGATGAGGTGAAGGACAATGTTAAATTGGATGAGGTGAAAGACGATGTTAGACCGGTTGATGTCGAGATAGATGTTGGTCAACACTTTATAAATGAACAACTATTTACTGCTCGTGAATATATGCTTGAATGGGTCCGCGTGGAAGCCAGGAAATTGGGATTTTTCATTGTAATTGGAAGGTCCAACAATAGTTCTAGTCGAAGGCAAGTATTTTTACCATGAGATGCGAGAGAAGTGGCATGTATGTTTCACCGACTTGGAAGTTGAAACGTGATGACATAGAATTAAGGAAATGTGAGTGCCCGTTTAAATTACATGGATATCGCAAGGCGGATGATACATGGAAATTTAATGTGATTTCTAGTTTACATAATCATGCATTATAATCTAAGATAGTCGGTCATCCCATCGTATGTCGCCTTAAATAGGTGGAGAAGGAAATTGTTTTGGATATGTCTTTAATTAGCCTGGAGCCTAAAAACATACTTGAATATTTGAAACAGAAAAGACCTGAAAGTGTATCAAATATTAAGCAGGTATATAATGTGTTATCGAAACAATATGGCGATAAGAGGTCTGAGATCCGAAATGCAACAAATTTTGAAGCTATTGGATGACAACCATTATGTTTCTAGGTACGTTTGTTATGATGAAGTCACTATTCGTGACTTATTTTGGACCCATTCCAAAAGTATCAAGTTGTTCAACATATTTTCCATTGTTATCATAATTGATTCAACATATAAGACCAACAAGTACAGGCTTCCGCTTTTGGAAATTGTTGGTGTTACATATACATAAAAGACTTTCTTAGTGGGATTTTCATTTTTGGAATCCGAAAAAAGAGGACAACGCTACATGGCCATTGAAACTCTGTAAGACCTTATTGAAGGACCAAGAAAACATGTCGAAGATTATTGTAATAGATTGAAACACTGCACTGATGACTTTGATGGCAAAGGTATTTCTGACATCTTACGCATTACTTTGTCGATATCACAAACAAAGAATGCGAGAAGTTGGCTTAAACCTGCGGTAGGCACCAAATAAATCAAGGGTGAAGACAAAAAAAATAGTTAAACCTAGTGTGGTGTTGGAAAAGATAATGGATGCATGAACGGGTATATTGAAATCGTCCATAGAAGACTTGTATGTTGCCTCTATAATGCATTTTA